GGGAATGACTGTTTCACAAGGCCTCGCTGATGCTGCCCAACAGGGGCCTCCGGGGCTCCAGCCCACTCTGCCGCGGGCGCCGCTGGGCCAGGATGCCCAGAGGAAGGATCAAAGCCACACGCGGCCCCTCCCACCACCCTGCAAACAGCAGGGCCTTGGAGGGGCTGGTCTGCCTTGCAAACACCAGGCAGCAAGGAAAATCCCAGCTTCCTCATTATGGGCCTCTAGGAATTGCGCATATGGCCGGTTCCTCAGCAGAAAACCGGGGAACGCCTGCACGTGTGCCTGAGCCACTGCCTGGCCGGGACAGTGCCACCGGCCCAGGACCAAGGAGGCCGATCATCTCACAGAAGTAGGGCCCATGTTACTGGAGCTTGAAGAACCAGATTTGGGGACTCGTTCCAAGGAAAGGAGAGATGCAAGAGTGAGCGAGGGGTATGGCTTTCCAAAGAGTAAGTAGAGATTCACATAGGAAGGCGCGAACAGCATGTCTCAAAGGTGAAGGGGCCTTTCAGGGGCTCTGTGAAGTCCTCTTTCCAGCGACATATCAAAGTCATGCTACATCTTTGTAGATTTCAGTCAAAACAATAGATTGTACCCAGCCCTTCCTTCCTAATATCAATCTACTTACCTTCCCTGGCCGATCCGGTTCTTAGATCGCCACCCCTCCCAGAACACGCAGCAACTGGAGCGCCTGTGCGCTGTTGGTGGGCGTGTGAAACGGCGCCGTCACTGTGAACAGTGTGGCGATTCCTCAAAAAATTAGATGCATGTGCCTCATGACCCTTCCACTTCTGGGTTACACGCCACAGAATTAAAGCAGGGACCCAAAGAGCTATTCCTACACCCACATTCATAGCAGAACTAGTCACAATGGCCAAAAGGTGGAAACAACCTAAGGTGTCGTCCAAGGAAGCCTATGGATGAATTGATAAGCAAAAATATGGTGCCACATGCATACAATGAAATATTATTCAGCCATAAAAAAGTGAAACCTGACATATGCTATACCATAAAGGACACTGAAGACTTATGCTAAGTGAAATGAGTCAGTCACAAAAGGATGATTCCACTGACGTGAGGAACCTCAACTCATCAAATTCAGAGACACAGAAAGTAGAATGGTGGTTGCCAGGGGCTGGCAGGGAGGGAGGCTGTGGAGCGGCTGTTGAACAGGCACAGGGTTTCAGTTTTGCAAGATGAAAAGAGTTCTGGAGATTGGCTGAACAATGTGAATGTACTTAACACTACTGAACTGTAAAAATACTTCTTAAGATGGTAAATTTTGTTATGTGTATTATGCAACAATTTGAAGGAAAAAAGGTCCCGAGACCCAGTCAGGCAAACACAGACAGCTCCCTGAGGCAGGAGGGAGCAGAAGAGGGGGACGTGTGTATCTGGCCTTTTTCTTGCTGCCCGGCACACGTGGTCATTGAAAATTTTGCTACGTGTCCAGTTGTAGATCTTTGCTCTACATTTACCTTCAGTGTTGGGGGTCTTTCCATCTATATAGGCCTTTTTACAGCCTGTCTTGTCATCAGCAAAACCAGTGCTGGCTCTCAGTGTCTTCTGAACTGGTTCTCTCATGTTCTTTCCGTAACGCACGCTTGCCAAGGGTGTCGCCTGCCTTCCCCACTGCCACTGACCTCGTGCTCTGCAGCAGCAACTCTGCTTCAGCTGCCTCCTACAGGGGCCGTTTCATACCCTGTGGTTCTTCTTTTGCTCATTAATCTCCCCTTTCCTCCTGCCCTATTGTTTCCCCCCATCTCAGTTTGGCCTCTTTTTGTGGCATTTTGTTCTTTCTCTACGAAGTTCATTTCTTCCGGCTCCTGCGTAGAGCACTGTCAGCCGCTAGGTTCAGCTTCCCTGGTAGGCAACCTCTGCCCTGGGCTTTCCCCTTTCCTGCTGGAAGGAGGCGCGGTCTAGCGAGACCCAGATTTATCATCTGTCTAGTGCGAGGTTGTCGCCTAAGGGTGGGACTGGTTGCCAGGGGAACCAACTAGTGATGGAGTCCATGGGAATCCACAACAGTGTCAGTATTCCAGCACGTTTCTCATTGCTGGCCAAGACCACGGCCATGCTGGACCCTCTCTCACACCCGCC